CAAATAACTTTTCCTGCATGTATTTTATAAAATTTCTCATTTGTTTCAAGCTTGGTAATTATAATTTCGTAGTTTTTGGTTCTTTAACTTAATAAAAATTTTCTTAAGGATGGAAAAAATTCAAATGGATGTCATTTTTTTTCGGCTGCATGTCATTTTTTTTCGGCTGCATGTTTTTCCGCAGTTTAAGGTGGTCATCGACTTAGCATCAGCATTCTCAGGCAATCGAGCCGTCTTATTGTATATTCATTATAATGGTGACGGAGAAGATTCTGGATACGGCTATATCTAAGATTAAATCCAAAAATTTCTGAAATAGTTTCGATTTTTTTTTCTCGAATTTTTACCAATTTTGCCTTTCTTCAATAACATCATTTCTTCAATAACATCATGAAATTATCGCTTAACAACTAAGAGCTCATGCTTCTAGAGGAATTATTTTAGAATTAATTTTTTGCTTTTTACACTTGCTAGACTTTTTTCCCCTTAAACAGGTTTTTTCTTCACAAATCTGTAGTTATTGATCATGCTTATTTATCGAAACCTACAAACTTCTAGTTTCCTTCTGACTTGGTCTAGAGGTAACTTGGTTGTTTTTGCATTTTAAGGCCTGGGTTTTGATTACCAGCTGGAGTTTTTTAGTACAGATTAATTTGAATTTTTTTCCGGGGAAATTTGAAAAGACGGGCTTTCGTTTGTCTGCTTATGCTTTGTCGGCTTAGTTGCCGCATCTCACATATTGATTCCTCTTGTACTCTTACAAATTCTCATTGTAGTTAAAATTGATGTTGGTTTACTGCTGTACTTGGTAAACTGACGAACCCTGACTAAGTGTATTTTTCTTTGTTTTTTTTTCGCTTGAAAGCCCCTTTCTGCCGAAATAGTTTTGGCCAATCATTCAATCTTTTACCGACTTTTACCGGCACCAAAGAACGTGAGTCTATTTTTGTTTTGAAAGCGGATTTTAATATCATCATTTCCAGCAAAATAAAATACCTATTTTTCCAGTTTTGTCTATTTGGTTAGTTTTATGATAATTGTTTCAATCATAAAAGATTTCTAAAATTCAAATAGCTTTAGCGTGATATATGTTCTCCGAAATTAGAAAGCTGACGAAAGGTCAAATGTCATTTGTTTTGGTTTCCTTGAGTTCATTGAACCTTTTCCTGCAATCTGTTGGATATGTTCTTTTTTTTTCAGTCGATTTCAATTTTTTTTCACCGTTAGGATGCTTTTTTGCCGTTGTTTGATTGTGAAGTACAACTTGGTTGTGTCTCAGAGCTGTTAAGTTTTGTCTATTAACCGTTGTTTTGTATCTTTATACTGATGAACACTTTTCTAATTGTCTGTAAGTTTCACTGATAAATGTTGACATTGGATATAATGTTATTTGATTTTTCGATTGCCCCAGTTCCTCATTTGGTTGTTTGAGTTTGAATTTAGGTTAATTTGAATCTTCCAAGGAACTTAATGGTGAATTTAAGCTTCTAATTTCTAGTTCTTATCTCTAGAGAACAATTTGCAGAGACTGAAGAACCTTCGCACTACAAAGTTGCTTTGAGTTATAAATTTTCAAAGGAAACAGGAAAAATATAACGTAGTTTTCCTTTAGTGTGCACTTTTTTGCGGGAAATGAAGTTCTTCTTTGTTTATATATACGTATTTCATTTCCCTTCAAAACTTTTTCCTCAAATTATTTTTACAGGATGCAATATGTTCTTAATGTTCGGCATACTGGCGCTTGATTTCATTTTTTGCATAGTCATTTTATCAGAGCGATTTAGATATTCGAACTTGTTGTTATTCATAGTTTAGTTGATTTGGCGATTGATGGTTTTGTTTGTAATGGTTACGCTTAGACTAGTGAAGCGTTTGTTTGGAGGTGCATTGTTGCGTAAGCGACAATACATGTTTGACTCATGTTTTTTTGTTTGGTTGAATGAATTTGAACCAACGTGAATTAGTTTGCTAATACTGATGTATAGAGTCTTGAGCAATCTATGCCCTTGACCTCAGAAGTGTGTTATAATTGCATGTTTATGAATTACGATAAAAGTTTCACTCACAGAATGCATTGTATATACAAGATTAGTTTATCTAAACGTTAAAACAAAAACAAACGTAAAGTAACTAGATCGAAAGCTAAACATAACCTCCTGGGAAAATCTAATTCCATGAGAATGGGATTGTGATGTAGCAAAAAAAACAGTTTTGGGCTCCTGTAATATGTAGCCCTTTTCATGTAAGCACTGAAAGCATAAAATGGATATTCAACTATAGATATTAATGAAACTTCGTTTCTCCGAACACGATTTCTCAATACGGGGCATGGTTTTTGTTATACAATTAGTTGTCTTCATTTAATTATCTTTTCCCCTGTGCAACTGGCTTATTTGATTGCTGATTTTATGATGCAAGATCTTAAATAGAATGAAGCATAAGCTACATCTGATTAAACGCATTTTTTACTACTGTGCTTTTTATGATAGCTAAGGCTTGGTATCAGAGCTCGGGTATCTTGTGTATAAAGCTAGGTATTTCCCAACAGATGAATCAGATTTAATTCATACTGGAAACCTTTTCGAGTTTTCACCTATTCAATGCACCTTCAAAGACCCAATTTACTGTTGCAAATTTCGTTTTTCCCTTGTTGGATCAGCGAGCGTTTAGAGAAAAGCTAAAACCTAAAATGGACCTATAGCAAGTTTCAAGACTTCTAGCGCGAAACATCACCCCAAAAGGGTTTTTCAATTTGATAGAAGTTCGCAATAAGAAACCCAAGTTAATACTAAGTCTAGTCGGTTCCTGAGCATTTAGCGCAGAATGTTCCTACCTCGGTGGTGATTGCAAAAAAAAATAAAAAGTTGCATTTTTTTTCGGAATATTTCAAAGAAAAAAAACATCTTCAAAAAGAGAAGATAAATCCACAATTAGAGGTGTCTGTAAAATTTTCCAATCGAGTAGATAAATGTGCGCAAGTAGAAAACGTACATAGTTGAAATGAGGAATTCGCTGTTTCTTCAAATTTGAATTCGAATTGTCTAAAAAAATTCGCAAAGAATTTTTTGGAATTCTAATCACAAAGAATTGGGCTTATATATGATAACACTTTTCTGAGATGTGCATGGATTGCTATCTCACATAGTAAGTTTAGATAGATTACGCTATCTGGTAGCACGCTAACTATATTCGGCTGAATGGGTTTGTGCAACTAATTAGCTTAATACTGGTCCTATTATTACTCTTATTTTCAAGGTCTCAATACATCCTTTAAAATACTGGCAAAACGAGTAGTTTTTGAGATCTTTTTTTATTGTTACCTAAAAGTGATCTGACTGGGGACACTCAGTTTTTACAGTAAATAAAATAAAATTTAGTAATGGAATAATATGATTGATTAGTAATAAATCATTGTTAAGCGTCATGAACGCAGTGAATGCTCTAGTATAGGTTTTGGTGATAGTTTTAGTTTTTTAGGAAAAAGTCTTAAACTTGTTCACGCTAAAATTTGATTTTTCACGGATTGACTTTTGAGTATTTTTTCAATTTCACTTTTAATTTTTTTTGATAAAAGCAAGGCAAACTCCATTATCGAACAGAAACAGTGTAAAGGTCACGAAAAACGTCATCGACTTCTCGTTTTGATAGTGGATTATCAGTTTTCAGATTTCACAGTTGAATGAAAATTTTACTTATTGATCATATTTACACAAGCATAGCTTGTGTTATAGTATGAACTTTTTCCATTCAAAGTCGCAAATATTGTTGCGACAAAATGTGTTCATTTTGATCCAGCTATTAAGTACAGCCAATGCTAAGGATATTAACACACACTATTATATTACAAATAACACTTTAGCTTTAAGGTATCATGGATCTGTAGCGTAGAGGTAGGGAAGCAGATCAGCTACAAAATAAGAGGGTTCGAACCTGGGCAGGGTCCGATGTTTTTAGTGAACTTATTCGTATACTAGTTAAAATGCGTCCGCTCTGTAAATAGAGGCATGTTAGTTGGTAAGTTTCTTTTTTTTCAAATTGACTGCTAATGCGTCATAATTGGCTTGCGCCATGAAGCAATTATGTAGACTCATAATTGGTGTGCGTCACTGAAGAAATTTTGTAGATTCAAAGTCTTACTCATTCAGTTTTTCCCAGTTGCGTTATCGGTCATATTTTTGCTCGTGTGTGCGAAGTGCAACTTCGCGCCTCCGTGTATAGATTAACATATTGATTCAGTAATCTCAAATTGGGTCAATTTTATGGAAAAATGTCAATCATAAATTGTTGTTGAAATTCAAAGAGCTTTAAAGCAATATATATATTTTTTGAAATTCGAAAGTTGACGTATTTTCAAAAAACAAGCCAGTATATTTTTTGTTTCCTTGCGTTCATGACTTTTTCCAACTGTCATCAGAAGCATGTTAAAACATGTTAATTAAATAGCTGTGAATTTAGTATAGAATCTGAAAGAAAGAGGTGTAATAGCTCTATAATCGCATATAAATTGTAAAAATTTGGGGAAGTTCAGTTTACCGATTCCTGTTTAAGTTAGTCTGAAAAACGAAAAAAAATTCTTACCCGTTTTTTACACTGATCGTTTTGACTTCGAATTCAGACAGGCAGGGCTTTAATATGATATATACTCGATGCAATACAAGTATGATTTGTGTTACCTGATTTTGCTTGAAGAACCCACCCTAGGCCATAATTCCTTCTCACTTCTGGGCGGTCGGTCGGAAGAAAAACCGATTTCATATTTAATTCGAATCTCTACTTACACTTTTTTCATGTGATAAAACCCAAAATGAATTAAGATTGGAGCTTTCTTTTGCTTGGCTTGATATAATTTAGCTGCTTGGTTTAATCTGATTCATTTAACTGCACGATTTCTATTTCTTTGCACGTTAGAGTTTTCGAACAGCCTGTTCATAAATTAACGTTAGTGTCAGCCTTTTTCTGATCACGACTATAATTTAATCAACTGTTTGTTGTCTTTCTAGGAATTCTGGGTGTCGGACAAGCTCTGATCAATGGATGTACAGTAGTGATTAGACCAAAATTCTCTGCCAGCAGGTAAGAGAAAATTTGAATTAGAGAATAGTTCAAATGGTCTTTAAAGTTTAAAGATTACTCTGAATTACTTAATTTAGGCCCAACCTGCATCCCCTAAAATATTGACCCCTTCAAATTTAAGGGGTCTGAATCAACCCCATCGGAATTTTACCATAAAAGTTATACCCAATGATTTTTGAAAAATATGCCATTTTTGAGAGCTTCAAATCAAAAAAAAAAAACTTTTTTCAACGCAAACAAAAATGTCTGCATTAAATTTCTTACATTTCATGACACTTATGCCAAATTTTTTGACGCCATAATATTTATCAGAATTGATCCAAAGTTGCGGAATACCCTGATAATTTTGAGCACCCGCTATGAAAAATGTTTGTTCGAAAAATTTTCAAGCCCCCACCCCGCTAATTTTGAAATTTTTTATTGAAATTGATCGTGTATGAAAGTGACAGGTTACGAAGTTTCGAAATGATCTGTCTAAAAAGTTTGCGAGTTTGACGATGTTCAGGTACTGGTCTGACTGTGCCAAGTACAACTGTACGGTGGGTCAGTACATTGGCGAGATCTGCAGGTACCTTTTGGCTCAGCCAGAGTCCCAGCATGACAGACAACACCAAGTGAGACTCATGGTTGGAAATGGACTCAGACCTCACATCTGGGAAGAGTTCGTCAAAAGGTAGTTTGATTTACTCAATACTTGGATTTCAATTATTTGTTCATTTGAAAATATCACTCTAACTTCTGCGTTGAAAGACTGAAATTGCTAATTGCTCGGATTTTAAAAAAGTTTTTTTTTCAGATTTATTTTAATATTTTGCTTGAATTACTCATTTTGAACCAGGCACTAATCGTTTTGGGCCAAACACCTCCAATACGTGCTTGTAATATTGATAAGTGATTTGCAAGCAGACTGATCTCCTTACTAAATGTAAATCTATATACTAGCTACCCGGTTTTTGAATTTTCTTTCGAAGCCCTTTTTTGTCGTGTGAGTTTTGAGTTTTAAGTGTTGATGAACGAAGAGATTTTTTCAAATTTTTTAGATCCTATCTTCATTATTTTTTTCAAATGTCTTCAAAGTTGTTCACGCTCAAATTTGATTTTTCGCAGTTTGACTTTTGATTTCTTTTGAAAAAAGGAAGACAAACTCCACTATCGAACACCAAAAGTGTAAACAACGTGATTGACTGTTAGTTTCGAAAGTATTTAATTTTCAGATTTACCACTGGACTAAAAACTTAATCTGTTAATACAGTTTTTTTTTCAAATTGGGCTAGTTTTATCAAAAAAGCGCCAATCATTAATGGTTCTTGAAAATCAAAGAGTTGAAGGTCATCCAGTTTTTTGAAATTCCGTATTTTTTTCTTTTTTCCTTGCGTTCAACACTTTTTTCCATCTGTCTGTTGGCTATGTTTTCTCCTTTGAATCCCGTTTATTTTTATCTGTGAGGTCATTTGGTGTCTATTTAGCGATTCAATATCAAATTATTATTTTTTTGCTTTTCGGCTTTTTGTTTCTCGACTGAAGCTTTTTCTACGTAGTTTCTGAATGATACATTTCCAATTATTTTTTTTGAAATTCGAAAGTCGATGTTTTCAAAAAATATCAGTGTTTTTTTTCTGTTTCCTTGTATTCATGACTTTTAAGGGTAATTAAGGCAGTGAGTACTCCTAAATAGGTCTTGCTGATTTTTTTTTTTTCTGGACCAAGTTAAAATTTGTTCACGCTCAATTTTGATTTTTCGCGGTTTGACTTGCGTTTTTTTTCAAGCTTAGCGCATTTCCATTGTTGAAAGGAAGGCAAGCACCACTATTAAACAGCTAAAGTGTAAAGGTCACGAAAAACGTGATCAACTTTTAATTTCGTAAATGGAATTTAATTATCAGATTTCCCAGCGAAATAAAAGTTTTGCCTATTAATCCAGTTTTCTCAAATTGGGTTAATTTTAACAATGAAAATGTCCATAATAAATTGTTCTACAAATTCAAAGAGCTTTAGTGCCATCTATTTTTTTTTCGAAATTCAAAAGTTGAAGTTTTTTGAAAAAACAAGTCAGTTTTTGTTTTCAGTTTTCTTGCGTTCCTCACTCTTTTCCTAATGTCAGTTGGCTATGTTTTCCATTTGTCTGTTGGCTATGTTTTTTGTCTTATCAAACGTGTCAAATCAGTTTTCCGTTTTCTTGCGCTACGGCTATAAACTAGCAGAAAAAGAAGAATAACAGCGTGAAGATTTTATGGAAAGTATATCACGAAGTTTTAAAGACTTGGGTTTTTTGAATTTTTGTCTGAACTGCAATCGCACTTTGGTTTCATGGTACTACAAGATGACCTCGATACATTATATAAATGGTTGTACATTTTCGTACGTTCATTTCGAATCAGCGGTATGCGATATTATTTTTATTGGTGAAGCTGCTGGTTGCAGAAAAAGAATACTAACAACGTACAGATCCTATGGAAAGTATCTGAAAAATTTTTGTGAAAGATAGTCTTTTTCTAAATTTTTTGTCTGAGCTGCTAAAGCACTTTGGTTTCATGTCACTGCAAGGTGACCCCGATACTTCTATCAGACTTGCAAAGCCTTATCCAGTAAGAACCTTATTTTTTTCGGGCACCTTTACAGTTTTTTTCATAGCATGGGCTTTGACCTTCGAATAGTAAAAATTAACACAGTTGGTGCATTTTTAATACATCAAATGAACCGAAAGAAGTGATTTGTTTCAACCAACATAACAATCATGAAAACTCGATTTCAGTAATTTTGAATGCATGTGTTTAGATATCAAATATATCCCGCAGTTTTCAATATATCCCGCAACTCAATATATCGCTCGCTTTTTTGAAATGCATAATTTATAGATAATGTGGCTTTATGTTTTGCGATTTCTTACATGCAAAGTTAGTGTAGATGCCTTCAGTTTGATATAATCCAAAGTATTACTTGCAAAATTGAATCTATTTAAATTTGGTGACCTTTTTGCTGAATAGCATTGGCAATTTATCAGCATTTGTAGCTGCTTTATTCGTGACTAGCGTCGGTTTTTAAGCTTACGTGGCTGAGTGGATAGTGCGTGAGACTCAAAATCTCTTGATTGCAGTAGGTCGCAGATCCAATCCTAGAACAAACCGAGTTTTTGCCAATTCGAGGCTTATTTCTATTTTTTGTAATTGCACTTTTTATAGCTAGTTTTTTTGGTCGTGTTTGCGGAATGTGTAAATGAAGGTAAATTTCCTGCATTAATTTTGAGTCTGACGTATGTTATTTAATTTTTTAAGAGTTATGAACGTAGTGAGTACTGTTATATAGGTCTTGCTGATTTTTTTTCTTTTTAGAAAAGTCTGTAAATTTATTCACGCTCAATTTTGATTTTCGGCTTTATTGTGATCTCTTTCTAATTTCAGTGCATTTCCATTATTAAAAGGAAGGCGAAGTCCACTATCGAAAAGCAAAAGTTTAAAAGTCACGAAAAACGTGATCGACTTCTGATTTCGAAAATGGATATTAATTATCAGATTTCCAAGCGAAATAAAAGTTTTACGAATTGATCCAGTTTTCTCAAATTGGGTTATTTTTTTAAAAGTGTCCATCATAAGTTGTTCTACAAATTCAAAGAGTTTTAAGGTCATCTGTTTTTTCTTCGAAATTCAAAAGTTGAAGGCTGTTGAGAAAACAAGTCAGATTTTTTTAGTTTCTTTGCGTTCATTACTCTCTTCCAACTGTTAGTTGGCTATGTTTGTAGTTTTTTTTTTGGTTAAGCTGTTGTTCGATTTCTTCTTCGATTTTGTATTCAATTTAGTTTGGTTTAATGGTTTGTTGTTAACAAAAGCATACCAGTATTTGTTGTTAACAAAAGCATGCCAGTATTTTGTCGTTTTACGAATATATAATTTATTTAAGTTAAACAATTAGTCAAAAGTTTTGATTAACTGCTGTGTGTACATCTTGATTTTTCTCATTTTGATTTACAATTTGAACACTAACAAAGCGTGTCATTTTCCATTTAAATTTTACTCAAGAGGTTGATTTAGTTTCATGCTTTCTGAAGTTGAATTCACTATTCTCTAATTCTGTTTTTTTTTTAATTCTGTCTAATTCAATGTCTAACACTTAAATGTAGGAAGGGTAGTTATTTTCCATTGAGTTAAAAAAATATTGAGTTTCATTTTTCTGCTACTGCCATGTCTGCAGTTGCTTCGTCGCATTTTCTGATTAGTTCATTAGGCTCATATATGATTATGCTCAGATATGGCCCTCTGAAATGTCAGTTTTCCATCTTTTTAACCGTTTTTGAACCTGACTTCTATCGAAAACTACAATCCGAAATCTGAGATTTTAGGTTCAATTGAGAGAATGGGTTGTGATAAGCTCCGCTGCCTTAGCGGCTGCGCCCATTTTTTAAACAGGTTATAGTGCTCGGAAAATTCTTTTGTGTAATTTTTTGACTGTTTTTCTTAAACTTTTCGACTCCTCTCGAAAATTTCCAAAATCGGAGCTTTTGGGTTTAATCGAAAGATCAGATTATTTGAAGCCCCCTTATATAATTTGCTACGCCCAATTTTTTTTACACAAAAAGTTATGGTCCTCGGAATAGTCAAATTTTGTTGTTATGACCGTTTGTAAAACTTTTCACTGTCTCGAAAACTAACATAATCCTAGCTCTGAGATTTTGAGCTCAAAAGAAAGGGTTGAGCAAATTTCACCTGTATATGCGGTGTCGTCCAAATTTTCTAGCAAAAAACTTCTGGCCCTCAGAAAAGTCAATGTTCTCGTTTCTTGTCCCTTTTTTGAAACTTTTGGACTCTTCTCGAAAACTACTCAGCCGAACCTGATATGAAGGGTTTAATCGACACGCTTTGGGAAGCCTTCGTGAATGAGCGACTACGCCTTAAATTTTGTTCAAAATATGTTATATCTTAATAAATTTTCTAAATTCTCAACAATTTTCCCCTTATTTAAGCGAAACAACTATGGTTTTGGGTCAAGCTCGATCTTTGATTATCGTCCGTCATAGGTACAGCGAATTCGAAAATTCTCAATCAGGTACCTCCAGATTTAGCTGGAATCCTAGTGGACTTCCTTTTTCCATTTAATATCTTGTATTGATTGCCATGCTTCAATTTTATTGCAAGTGTTGCGAATCCACTTCGCATCTTTGTCAATAATTTTTCTATCAAAAGTTTTGCGAAGCTCCGCTTCACTTCTGGGTCCAAGGTAAACTCAAAAGAGATCTCAACAAATAAAACTCAAAATGACGATGAAAGTGTTAAGAATAACCGTCGAATAAGATAAATAAGATAATGTTTTTAACCAGGTTTACTCAGATGGCTTAGTTTTGCCACAAAAGTTGCGACGATTTCTTCTAACCATCTTTTTATACGAAGCGTGGATTCAGTATTTGGATTGCTCGGCTCTTGGGATTTTTTTCGTTTAAATCAGTTCAAAACGTTTTAAAAAAGTTGGAATCGAAATATGTTTACTATAACAAAAGTGTCTTTCTAGTTTTGAAAGTTTTTCATTTCAAATCATGACTGCTTTCAGTAAACTGAAGGCGATTTTCGTCTCAGTAGTTTTAAACTGGTTGAGTTCTGTTTTCTGAATCCAATAGCTTTTTCTATTTGTTTGTTAGGTGTTTTCTTCGTATTCCCTCAGAGAAGAAAAATTTAAGTAGTAAAATGCGGTATTATTTAAAGCTTAGAAAACGTCTGAAACGTTACATCGTGGGTTAAATGTTATGTTTGCTTGTTTGGTTGGTATATTTGCTTGATTAAGCTGTGTTTGCAAAGGTGCTGTAATCTGCGCTGATATTGTTAGCTGCCGTAAATTTGTCTGACCGTTTTGTAATTTAATCCAACTGTAATAGGACAATCAGTTCAAATAAATTGCCTAAATGACCATATTAAGAAAAAACATGCGGTTTTGTGAATCATTCAAACTTAATATCATCAACAAGCAAAAAATAGATATAGTTGTTGTTGCTTGAGGTGCTCGTTGCTTGAGGGTGAAGCAACATTACCCAGCCGAGAAAAATAACCAAAAAAATTGCATGTAGTTCTTAAACAGGGGCACAACAGCGGTTCGCCGTGATGAGCTGTACAGCTCTTGTGTTGGTCCTTTCCCCAGTGGATAAATGGTCTTAATCTTAAAAAGATGGTTAAGAAAATTGGTAACTCGATTTAATCAAAAAAGCTTCTCGAATTTGGGAGATTCAATATATATATATTGCTCGTGTCCATGCGAAGTAGCTAGAAAAGCAGATGCTTTTGATAATTCAAAAAAAAAGAATTTTTGGGACGAACTCGACTTATATTTTAAGAGCGAATTTTAGTTATAAGGTTTTCCCAGCGGAATGAAAAATATCCTTCAGTTTTCTCAAATTATGGGTCATTGGGTCATTTTGGCTAATTAATCAATGGGTCATTTTGGCTAATTAATCAAGAATTACGCTGAAACCACTTTGTTAATAGATGAGATAATTATATCACAAGAAGCCTCTTACACAGCCCAACAAAGTTCTAGCAGGGAAAAATCTCCAAAACCCTGTATAAGAGAAAATATTTTTGCTTGATATTCAAGAAATGTGATTTTTACTATATAAAACCCAAAATCTTTGCTTAAAAACAAATTTTGAACAATTTGCTCATTTTTTTGGAGATTTAACCCTTCTTTAACTAAAAGGGGTTTGAATCGAGCCATGACCTATATTTTTTGACCTATCTTATATCGACTTTTTATACGATGTTTTCGCGTAGTGGTGGTATTGGCCCATGTGAACAATCTCCCCCCTAAAATAGACCAAGTGAAGAATTTCCCCCTAAAGTTAAATGGAAGTTCAAGCACTAAGGCTTACATGTAATGTGCTCAAATCTGGTTGGCTGAAAAATATTACGTTTAACCAAGTGAGCCATCTACTCCCTAAATTGATTTAGGGGGAGATGGTTCACTTGGTCTCTCGAATCCATCAGAATGTTTCGAATTATTCGAGAATCCATGGGTGTAAACGAATTATTTATGATACTATTCGGCCTGTCGTATGTTGACTTGTTTTAAGTTCCGTCTTCATACCACATATTTGTCATAAAATTTCAGCAATTCTCACTAAAAATAGAAACCCCGTTTTTAAGTATCAATTTAGAAAATGAAGACATTCGATTGAAGTATTTGCTGGGTAAAGTCTTCAAAGTTGTTCACATTCAATTATTTTCTTCACTTCAAGTCATTTGCAAAAATTGGAAGGTCATTTTTTTGGTCATTTTTTGTCTGATGGAGCTCATTGAAATTTTTTCAACTACCTGGTGGCTACATTTTCACATTTCCAATGGTCCAAGGAATTGATTTCCAAGAATTTTTCAAGATGCTTCCAAAAAATTTCAATTGACGAGTTTTGATTAAAATTAAAAGTTTGTTTTTCTTTACCTCTAAAGGATCCTTGCATTGTTTTGCTGTAACTACAAGAAGACAAGACTGAAAGATATCAATCAAAAATATCAGAAAAATAAGTCAAGTCAAGACATTACCTATTTTATGGCAAAATTTTGGTTCTTATTAATATCTTGAGTTATCCCAGTTGGAGATAAAGGTATCTGGATTTTTTGTTCTAATTTTTTTGGCCCGGATAAATGTAAATGAGCACAGTGCCATCCTTCGATTATCAGGACAGCTAATTAGGGGCTCGAAATAGAGGCAGTAGCAATTAATCAAGGCTTGGCTATTGTGAACGGTTTTCATCAAGTCTTTGTTATTTGCACCTTTTATTTTAAAACCTTGTCTCATACTCAATGTCCAAAGTTATTCTTGGTCCTAGAAAGCGTAATATGGTCTTCTTCAGAAGCGTAAGAAGATCAGGCTCTTTTTCCAAACCCCCCCCCCCCCCCCCCCCCCCCCCACCTCACACGACCATCAATTTTATGGTGTTACGAGTGATTTTACAAGGTTAACGATGAACACCAAATATGTTTGGCAGAGCCTTATTAGTCCGCATGTCAATTTTCATAAGGATCGGACAATGTGAGCAATAACTTTACAAGTATAAAATTGCAGGTGGGGGAAGGAAAAAGAGCCGAAGATCAGTTGAGTTAGTTCATAAAAAAAATAATAATTCATGTGCAAGTAGGGATGTTGTGTGTTTAGATTTGGGATTGGGAAGGTGGGCGAGTTCTATGGTGCTACTGAAGGCAACTGCAGTGTGATGAACACAGACAACAAAGTGGGTGCAGTCGGTTTCATGACTCAAATCATACCAGCTCTCTACCCCATCATGCTCATCAAGGTACACTTCATTAAATTTTGACCACTAACCAGAATCACAGAAATTGGAAAAATCATAGAATGGCGAAGACATCTTTATGTTGCTAATATCAATTGTTTGAGAGTCGATGAACATAGTGAAAACTCTTGTATAGGTCGTGATGATTTCAGGAAAAAGTGTGAAAGTTTGTATGTTTTTTTTTAGGAAAAAGTCAAGTTTGTTCAGGCTCAAATTTACTTTTTCGTGGCTTGACTTTTGATTTTTTTCCTAAGTTCAGTTCATATACTTTGTTAAAAGCAAAGCAAAATTGACTATCGAAGAGCAAAAGTGTAAAGGTCACGAAAAATTATCGAATTCTAATTTCGAAAGTGGATTTTAATCTTCAGATTTCCCAGCGGAATAAAAAATTAACTATTCATCCAGTTTTTTTCTAATTCAGTTAATTTTGCCGTTAAAGTTTCAATCATAATTTTGTTTTGAAATTCTGAGAGCGTTAAGCTATAATATTTTTTTGACTTCGAAATTCGAATGTTGAAGTTTTTTTGAAAAAAAAAACAAGTCTGTTTTTTTTCAGCTTCATTGCGTTCACTGTCTCTTCCAGCTGTCTGTTGATTATGTTCTTAACATTTTCTCCAATTGTGAAGAAATATAGCGACGAGAGAAATCAATTTTTCTTCTCTTTTTCAGTTATCTTTACAAAAAATACTGGAAAAAATGTTTTCGCTTTTTGGGTTTGTGGGAAGGGAGAGGGAGTGAGAGGCGTTAACTTCATCTTAGCTCACTCAGTTCAAAATGTCGATTTACTGAGTACATCGTATGCTGTTAACGAAGAATGAGTTTCGATCCGAAAAGGCTTTTAGCTGTGAACAGCGAACATTTAACGCTGTTATTGTCGATACTTGAAGTTTTCTAATACCGCTCCATTCATGACTGAAAGTGTTTAATATGATTTAACACTCGAAATCACCCGCAGTTTTTTAATGTAAATAAACTGAAATTGCGTAACAAAAAAAAACCGGGGGCGCTAAGTTTTTCCTACTCAAATTGATGGTCGAGTTATAACCGACATATTTTCATCAGAATTTTGATTCAGATCGCCGAGTTGTTAGATTTACTGTGCATAATTTTATGACACACGGTTATGATTTTTTTCTTTTATCATATTTGGAAATTTTAAATTTTTTCTTCACTAGGTGAACCCTGACAGTGGGGAGATCCAAAGAGACAGCAATGGACTCTGCATACAGTGCGAAGCCTACGAGATCGGACACCTCGTCGGCAAAATCCAGGAGTCAGATCCAGGAAGAAGGTCTGAGTTGTTGCTTTAAATGAATATTCAACCGATTCAAAAAAGTTTATCGTTCTTGAGACTAGTTGAACTGAATTGTTACGAAAGCACGAGAATTGTTACGAAATTTACTCACGGAACCAACTTATTTACGGAACCATTAATTTGTTTAGTTATATCCAGGTTTTAGACGGGTTTCATTTAAATTAACTCAAGGAAAGGCATCAGTTTTGAAATGGTAATAATGTTTGTAGGGCTTCGCCTTAGTGCAACTAGTGTTAATATTTGAGAACTTGGTTGTTAGGTTTGACGGATACTTGGACAGAGCAGCTTCGGAGAAGAAGATAGTGAGGAATGTGTTGAGGAAGGGAGACAGTGCATTCCTCTCGGGCGATCTGCTGGAGAGAGACGAGAATGGATATCTCTACTTCAGGGACAGAACAGGAGACACCTTCAGGTTAATAACTATATTTTTAACAGTCGATGAACGACTCTAAAGTAGGTCGCGATTATTTGTTTTTTCGTTTTTTTTTTCAGGAAAATTTGTTCATGCTCAAATTTACTGTTTCGCGGTTTGATGTTAAAAGAAAGGCAAACTTTACTATCGAACAGCAATTGTAAAGGTCACGAAAAACTTGATCGAATAGCAGAATTTAATATTCGAATTTCCCAGCAACATGGAAATTTTACCTATTGACCCAGTTTTCTCAATCATTTCATTTGGTTTGTGTTAATTGAGTTCTTTTCGAATAGTTGGTTTTTCTGAAATATCTTTTTGTTTCTTTTTTGTACATTTGCACTTTTCCAACTGTCAGTCGGCAAGGTTATTTCTATTTACTAGCAAAAGCTCTCGTATTCTGCCTCTGATTTTTTTTATCAGCCTGTATGTAGTTTTCTTGCAATATGCATTTTTCTGAAGTTAATTTTTCGATACTTGAAAGAAGTAAAAGTAGTTGCTACCATTCAGTGCACATCTTGAACGAAGAAAGTGTTTTTGTTAAGATGGAAGGGAGAAAACGTTTCGACAACTGAAGTAGAGGCTGTACTGATGCCGCTGTTCGGAAACTCGGACGTCGTGGTGTTCGGAGTACAAGTCCCTGGATTCGAGGGCACAGCAGGAATGGCGGCCATTGCAGTGGATTTACCCAGTAGTCAGGAGTTTAGGCAACTCTACGCTGAGATGCGAGTAGCTCTACCGGCCTATGCGATGCCCATCTTCATACGTATTATGTCCTCAGCACATGCACATAGCACTGGTTGGTATCTTTTTTCTGTAAACAAACTAGACAGTTTAACAAGAGTTACCAGTTGCTGTACAGAAGGTTTTAACCATAGATATCCGTCGAAAAATAACAATAAAACGATATATCTTTTTATATGTTTTATGTGCGTGGTATAGAGACAGGACCTAAAAGCTTACGATATATCTTTTTTTTTGTTTTGTGTGCGTGGTGTAGAGACAGGACCTAAAAGCTTATTAGAACATCTGATTGCCCTCTTTCAAACTTAAACTGGTAAAAATGACACTTTAATTGCAAGAATTTCCATAGCAGTTAAGCACCGGATGTAAACTGAGTTCTTACACATGCCAGCTAGCGAGCGCAGTGTTATATTACGAATCCATTTTTTCCAACCCAAGTCGCTTATTTGGTGGCACTTACTCTGCATAGTTTTGGGAACTAAATTGAATATCTAGTTGTTGTTGTTTTTTGGTGGCGTGTTTAACAATTATCAGGCGACCATAGTGCGGATGCGACCAGATTTTGACACATCAAGGTATTTATCAAGATTTTTTTTTCCTGATTTCATTTTTTTGAGCTATTTTTGCTGTTTTCTTGTGTTTGCGAATTGCATCTTAGTCTCTGTGTAGTTTTTGTTATCCTTGCAAAGCCCAAATGTACTGCAAGGGCAGAGTTCCCTGGCTTTAAGATTCGATGAACGCCCCCGAAAGTGTTCGCCTCACGTCATACGCAGATGATTTCACCCATTCGCCCGAAGCCTGGACGTTGAGGCAATATCGCGACATCGCTCACTAAATGTTATGAAAATTACGCATTTCGTATCAAAACAATCTATGATTAAAAATATTAGAACAGGTAGATCCAGTATTTGCTGGACCACTAATTCACTTCCAATTTAACGTGGAGCATATACGAGGACTGAGACTCCTAGTCAACTGATCGGATTTTCGAATCCGGAAACTTCAAATAGTTTTTTTTATCGAATTTTTGCTGCATGACATTGACAAATTGATAGAAACTGTAGCTGCTTTATTAATGGCTATTGTTTGTAAAATTACAAACCGTCGTGGAGCAGATGTGAGAACATGATACTCCTAGTAACAGCAAAGTTTGTTTTCAAGGTGTATTTTTAATCTTTTTCTTATTTCACTTTGTTTTTGCGTGTTAAGAGCTCTTTTTTGCATTTTCCTAGCTTGTGTTTGCAAAGCGCAGCTTTGTCTCTGTGCAAATACGTACCTCGCCCACATAGACTACCAAGCTTCCCCACTTTGCCCCAACTGTCTCTGGGCACCCCACACTAGTTGCCATGTTTTTAACTGCCCCAGAAATCCCTCCCCTTTTACTCCTGCAGACCTGTGGCTGAGGCCGGTTGAAGTTGCAAAATTCCTTAGCCTGGAGACGGACGAGGAGAACGCGCCCAACATGGACTCAAGAAAGGAAAAAAATAGATTAACGTAGTTAAGACTTTTATATAGGCCGTGATGATTTGCTTTCAGGAAATTTCTTCAGGCTCAAATTTGATTTTTTTGGCGTTAGACTTGATTTTTTTTTAAATTCAGCTCATTATTTTGTTGAAAGAAAGGCAAGCTCCACCAGCGAACAGCAAAGGTGTGCATTAACTAGTTTTGAAAGTGGGTCGCAGCGGAATAAAATGTTTAGCTATTGATCCAGTTTGCTCAATGCTTTTTTAATCAAAAAATTGTCAATCACTGTTGTATAAATTCAAAGAGCTTTAAGGCCATATAATTTTAAGAGTCGATAAGCGTAGATCAGACTCTTATATTTGTCGTGATGATTTGGTTTTTTTTAAAGAAAAGCCTTGAAATTTGTTCTGACTGAAATGTACTTTTTGATGTTCGACTTCTACGTGATCGACTTCTATTTTCGGAGGAGGAATTTCATTTTCAGATTTCTAACTTGATCGACTTTTAGTTTCGGTGGTGGAATTTAATTTTCAAATTTTTCTTAAAATTTTAGTTATTAATCCAGTTTTCTCAAATTGTTTTAATTTTATTAAGAGTAATGAACGTAGTGAGGAGGACTCTTATATAGGTCTTGCTGATCAAAATGTGTCAATCAAAAAGTGTTCTAGAAGTTCAAAAAGTTTTAAGGCCATTTAATTTTTTTCTTGAATTTCGAAAGTTGATTTTCGAAGGTCTTAGGAAGTTGAAATACGAAAGTTGATTTTCGAAAGTTGAAATATAGAAGGTCTTTTGGGTTTCAAAAAGAATCAACGTGAAATTTGATATGGTCTTTTCCCGAAAATTGAATTGTTTTTGAAAATCGTGATGTGATATTTTTTTGTCCAAAAACCGAAAGTTTTTTCGAGTGCTTTAGTACATGGACACTTTTCCAACTCTCTGTAGGCTATGTTTTCCTGATGGACTCGTCGTTCCCCTTTTTCGGCATTTTGAACTTGTTGTTTTGAGAAGTATTCTCAAGATTTGGCCAGAAAACAACGTTGTAGTTTTTGAGCAAGTTTTGGTCCCATTTCTTCGGGCTTCAAGGGTGGCTGTGTAAAAATATCGTTCTATTTACTTTTTATCATAAAACATCTGTAGAAGTAAGGTAAATTTTGAAACAGTTCATGAGTTTGTTATCGATTCCCTCAATGAGAGAGGTTTTGAGTGAACTGAAATTAGTTTCAATTACGATTTCTGGCTGAAATACAAAACCCAGGCTTGTACCTTACGTTTTTTTTTTCGTTTATCCTAACCGTTTTGAAAGATCAATCTAAATAATAGTAGGCCAACCTTAGTACTTCAAAGTTAGTTTTGTCTGATGGATTCACATTAATTACACTAGCAAGCTTGCGAGTGTTAGTGTATTTAACCTAATTTGCAAATTAAAGTGGTCATTGAAAGTGTTCACTTAAACGGAAATGTCACTGTAGCATTAGAAATTGCATAGCATCTGTTCTCTGCTTTATTTGTGGCTAGTGTTTGTTAGCAATTTAGCGTCTGAGGCTGAGTAGTTAGTGCGTGAGACTCATAATCTCTAGGACGCAGTAGGTCGTAGGCTCGAATCCGAGACGTAGTTGTTGTTTTACTAATTCGAGGCTTCGTCTCTTTAATGATATCAATTGTCGCAAAACATTATTAACTAAGTTTCAGAATTAATACATGCTTGGGGAGGGAATTCTATGGTAGGTCACTTAGGGAGGGGGGGGGGAATTGTACGGTTGATCGAAAAATTCGAAGTCTTTTTTTTTCGACTTAATTATTTCGACTGCATTGTATTGCAAGGGATATGAAGCTCCGGTGAAGTCTTCGGGTTTAAATATGACGTCACTGCAAATAACAAATCACGCAAAACTGACATTTTGTAGTAATTATAATTGATACAAATGACTTCTAATTTCAAGATGCTTTAGGTACATTTAAACTGAAGAAGTTTGATCTACAAAGAGAGGGCTACAACCCCAGTCAGGTCAATGACCCTTTGTTCCTGATTGACAACCAGAACAAGACATATGCGCCCCTGGACGCTCTGACATACAAACAATCCGGACTCATAGATGGCTCTATCCGCATTTGAAAGGGTTCAGGATGAGCTGTTAATTTTACTACGAAAAAACAATGTCTCAGTCTCACAATGTTTCACGAATTACATTTAAACGCAATGAAAGAAGATTATCACAAATTTGATATGCGATAACGAATTGAAACAAAACTTCACAGCCTTCTAAATAGCTGAAAATTATATTTGAACTTGTTAAAAATTGTAGTTGGAATGTTTCTCTTTGATGTTTGGAAGACTAAAACATTGCCCATGTGTTCAGTTGTCATTGTTTTTGCGAAGTTAAAACATAGACAAATAGTTTTTGCATGGTTTGGAATCTAAATTTTTCTATGTTTCGCAGCTAGGAAAAAAACATCAATTTACGGCAACAAAATACTTGGGTACTGCTGTGATGTGTACCAATAATATCGCTTGTGATTTATTGTTAGCGCATTTCTCTCGCATTGTATGTGATGTAGTTTCCCAATTGCAAGTTTCTCAGACCACAAGTTTAGTAGGTCCAGTTAGTTGATAACAATGAAAATAAAATATCTTCCTCGTGAAATTTCAAAGATGTGGTTTTATTTTAGGCGTGAATGATCAGACCAAATTGTGATGTAATTTTTGAATTATGTAATTTTGAAATTAGCGTTTTTTTACCTAAAATTGGCTGTAAAATCTTCCAAATATCTCCTCGATTTTTCAATCAACGTGGTGAAAACATCCTCATAGTTTTTGATATGATATCAAACTAAATATACGAGAATCATTTTATCCTTAGATGTATGTGTTCGTGTCAATTAATTTCATTTTAAATATTACTGAACGAAATGAAATCCTGAATTTCTATTCACTGCGGCTTCGCTTCTGTAATTTTTGAAAATCAACAAATACGATCCTTTTAAGGATTTGATTTTCTCCCAAAAGCATACCTAAGAAAAATTCCTGCAATTTTGTCGACAATATTTGTAAAAGAACTTGATTCAGTTTTGTGTAAAAGTTCAGGATGTTTTTTTATTCAGGGTAATATGGAACCATTGCAAAATCTTTTCATCGATTTCATGATTGTGTTGTGATGACAAAATTGAAAGTACAAAATTGAAAGTATTTTAGTAGTTCATAATAGTACCGTATCTTCCGTGCTTGTTTGAAATTCTCCGTCTGATAATCTGTCGATAATACTAATCTATTCTATCCAAATCCAAATATGCAATTTGAAAAATAAGCTAATCAGTTGTTGTTACTAATTAAGGTAATATTAATGTGTATTAATCTACGCAACGGGGATGTAGTATCTGGTCTCTATTGCACTGTCTTAATTTCATCATAGCCCATTCCTATCTCGCTATAAATGTCACTGGTATGTTTAATTGTTGTCCAAAACAACCTTCAAACAGTCTGCAGCTACAAAATGGATATGTTCAGACTAAATTTGCCAATGTATTTGATTTCAATCAATTAGATTCAAGCGTTTTAGATAGTATGAGTACAAAATATGCTTTCTGTTGTTTAAACACTCTTGTTTTAATCTCACCTAGAAAAGTTTTTGGTAAAGTACTAAGATCGATGAAAAGTTTTTTTAAGAAACAAACCATTGATCAAATTCGGATTCGTTTTGGCTGCGAACTAATTCATGAAATGCAAAAAGTTTTAGTTCAATTAAAAGTCTTAATAACCAAAAAAGAGTGTTGACTTAAGATTACCATACTGATGTTTATCTGAAACTGTTTATGTAATTCAATCCATACAAGTTGCTTCTTAAAATAAATAAACTACATTTCATTCGATATTCGCCTACTGTTCATTCTCCTACGGGATATATTTTCGAAGTTCGTTCTCGCTCTCATTCTGCATTGTTGCTCTCCTTTTAGTCGGTGTCGAAAAAAAAATTAAAATTCAACCCTCTTGCTGCTAATTTGTACAATAAAATATTATCAAAACGATTTTTTGCGCAACTAACATAAGGTCCATTTTATATAGTCCTGTGATTAATCGATTGTGAATGACCTTAAGTTTTTACACTCATTTTAAATTCCGGAAGTTCCAAGTGTAAATGAATGAAATTCATTTTGTTTTTGATCAGCAATTTTTTTCAAGTTAATGTTTTTATTTCGGTTTGAATTGTGATTTCTATTTAGTGGAATTTCACTTAAACCTCATTTGCTAATGAACGGCAAGTTACGCTCTTCAATAACTAAAAGGAATTGGAGTGAAAATGGAGCTTGATCTTAAGCTTTAAAGTTCTCAACAAAAAATACCTTAACATAGTTTCTTTGTGAGCACACTTACACATGTGAGCGTAGTCTATTTGCCATTTGACTTTTTTCAGCGCGAAAATTTTTAAAGATTTATGAAATACATTGTGCTGAAGAGAATTAAACGCGTTTTTGTAGCCTTTCTTATTATGTTTAATGCGTAAGAGCGACTCATTTGAGTTTGGCGAATTAATCTCATTCCAGAGAGTTGAAAAATATATACAAAATGGTATTTAAGCAAGGTAATTGGTTACAATAATTCCAGGCTAGATTCAAATAATGACTAGGCTCCCCACTTATATAATTCAGTACTTGTTCTTAAGAGCCGGTGATTGTATTTCAGACTCTTATACAGGTCGCGATTACTTTCTGAAGTCAATTATTTACTTTTTGCGGTTTGAATTTTGATTTCTTTTAAAGCTCAGTTCATTTCCTTTGTTAAAATGGAGGCGAAGTCCACTATCAAACAGCCAAAGCGTTATGGTCACGAAAAAAGTGAGTTTCAGATTTTCCAGCGAAAAAAAAAAACCTATCAGTCCAGTTTTTTTTTAGTTTCAATTATTTTTAGCAAAGTGTCAATCGTAACAAGCTCTTGAAAGTCAAAAGGCTTTAAGGCTATCTATTTTTTCGAAGTTTAAAATTTGAGTTTTTTTGAAAAAAAAATAAGTCATTTTATTTTGTTTTCTAGTCGTTATTGACTCTTTTTCAGCTGTATGTTGGCTGTTTTTGAATAACCGATGAACGTAGCTCAGACTCTTATGCAGATTGTGATATTTTTTTCGAGGTTTAACTTTTGTTTTCTTTTATGTTCAGCGCACTTCCTTTGTTAAAAGCGCAGTCTATTTGCAAACGCCACTATCGAGGGAAACGCTACTTGTTAAAAATAGGCAAACTCCACCGTTTCTACCGTTCAATGACTCTTTTCCAACTGTTTGTTGGCTATGTTTTGTTAATAGTCGATGTATGTAGTTCAGACTCTAAGACAGATCGTGATGATTTCATCTTTTTTTAAATGAAAAGTCATCAAATTTGTTCAGGCTCAAACTACTTTGAGAGGTTTGACTTCTAATTTTTTTGTTCAGATCATTCCCCTTGTTAAAAGGAAGGCAAACGCTACTATCGAACAGCGATTATTCCATTTGTTGAAAGGAAGGCAACCGCCACTATCGAACAGCGACTATTTAAAGATCATTAATGACATTATCATTTTCTAAGTTTGGAGTTTATTTATCAGCTGTACTTCGAAATAAAAATTTTAACTATCGATCCAGTTTTCTCTAATTGTGTTAACATTATAAAAAAAAGGAACAGTCAATTATTGTTTTAGAAATTAAAAAGAATCTTTTTTTCTTGGAATTTCAAAAAAAAAAAATTTTTTAATAAAAACAAATCATTTTTTTCTTACTTTTTTCTATTGTCAGTTGGCTAGGTTTAACTGGTTTTTAAGTGCTGTCGGAGCATTTGAGACAATGTTCCAAATGCCTTTCGACTTTGTTTTGAATTTCCTTTTAATTTTTTTCGATCTTTGAGTTTATCGTGGGTTATGTTCATCAATTAGAGCAACTTAAGGCTAAGCAAAAAAAATAACATAGCCTTAGCATCCAAAATCACATGTGTTTTCGACTGCACAGCTATATCTCTGTAGCTGCGATTAACACAAAGGTTAAAAAAAAACGCTTTGATCGGCTTTGAAACAGCTACTAAAAACTTCTGGTTTCAAGTGATAACCATAAACGTTATGCGGCCGCTTTTGCCAATAATACTTTATGCTGTGGTAATCTATGCAGTGTTCATACTCACTAAGATCTTCCAGCACAGTTGGAAATTCCGCAAATTACATGTTTTGAAGTAAACAAAACGGGCAAAGGTCAAAATTTTGCTATTAGTAGGTGCCAACAAATAAGGATCTTGTCTCACGCGTTTGTACACCGGCAGACACTTTCGCATTGAAACTTTTGATTGGAGTTTTGGTTATTTATTGAATTAAAAGCAGAAGTTGTGCAACGAAGAATTGATTTAAGTTTATTTTTTTAATATTCTAGTAGGCAATACAAAATTCAATTACATTGTACAAATTCATAGAACTAAATGAATGAAGTCCAATAATTACAACCTACCTAGGAGCATCAACAGGCCAAAGAACCTCAAACTATGTCCTTAAATAACTTTATAAACATAAAATCAGGATAATTTAATCAAAGCAAAAACATACATCATTAACTGGAATCGCAATTTTACTAAAACTTAATTTATTTTCAGAAAACAAAATATGTTTTCGTCACGGTTTTTGGGACAGCCCCGTTCTGCAATGGGGCCTCTCAGTAGTCATACTTCAGAGTCTAAGTACCCTCTAGAAATATCAGAATGACTTTCGAGTGCTCAATTAGGGCCCCACTATGAATTAGTGGTAAGTTCCACACCCTTTGAGCACTGAACGACAACCTTCACAAACCAAAGACCGTCCTTAAACTTTTTTAGTAATCACCCCACGACAATATTAACCAGCTCATCATTATCAATGATGTAACTATTTAGCACATCATGAACAAACTTTTTAAAGTCATGTTTATTATTAATTACGCCTAATTTCTCAAAAATAGAAAAACTATGAAATAAGTTGAAAGCTGTAAACAGTCTGCGTCTTATCATTAGTTTCACACCTGTACCACCGGCTTAATTCGGTAAAAATCTTAATGACGAACTTATTAAGTTTAGATTGCTGGTCCCTAGCATCTGTTTAACAACCTCATCAAAAAGTTCATTTTTATCGAGCTCAAAAACTTTCGCAATGCGATTTTGTACCCTTTCATCCTCAACACCTTCGCGATATAGTTTATTGAAATTATTGCGGCATAACCTCCGTTGCAATTTCAGAGTTGCGCTCAAACTGGTAATAGATATGCACCCATACACAAGCACGCCATAATGATACTGGTTAAATAAAAAATATATAAAAATCGAAGAGGTGCTTTCGATGGAAAATATATTTGCTTCAGTACATGAGTCCAAAAAATTTAGCTATTTTCGATGAAACAAATTGAATGTGATTATTGAAATTTGATTTCTCTTCTAGATATATACCCAGGTATTTGGCAGATTGAACTTGTTTCGTTTCATGACCATTTTTTTAATATTAAGGTTTTCTGTTGAAGTCTTGCTGAATTTGATAACTTTTGTTTTATTTTGGTTTAGCGTAAGTCTGTTAGATTTCAACCAATGGTTAACATCCTACAGATGTTTTGCAAATAAGTAATTTTTTCTTCACTTTTGAATTATAGGTGCATCATGGGTTTGCAAAACCGCTTCTGTACTACCATAACGTTTGTGTAAATCATTGATATTGATCAGAAACAGAACGTGACATAATACAGAGCCTTGTGGCACATCACTAACAATTAGTTTAATTTGGAGTAAAGTTTATTTAAATTTACATATTACAATCGGTTAATTAAATAATCTCCTGATAGTTTATTTACAATGCCTCTGCAACCGTATAAATCGAGCTTTGAAAGAAGCTTCTTACGATTTACAGTGTCGAACGCTTTCCGTAAGTTTAAAAAGCAGCCCCCTGGTTGGATGTTTTTCACTAAAGAAAGTTGAATACTATCAATAACAATCGCATCAACAGAGGTCATATTTTTACGAAACCCAAAATGACATTTTAAAAACACTTGAAATTTCATGAAAAAAATTACAAGTCTGTTATAAATAATACGCTCAAAAACTTAACTAATTGAACTTAATAACGCTATCGGTCTAGAATTGTTAGCCTCACTGATCTGATCATCTTTATGAAGTGCCACTACTCTTGCTATTTTAGTGAAGTGCCACTATTTAAGGTGCCACTATTTTAGGACAGATGCCATTTTTCATGCATTCATTGAATAATTCTACCAAATAATGACTGAGTATTGGCTAACAAATCTTCACGGATATATATGATATTTTATCACGTCCTTCAGACCGTTTGTTTAAGATCAACCATAAAATATCTCAATTTTCCTTTCCTGTTGTTGGACACAGTCATATGGATGCATCAACTCCTTTTAATCTTAAAAATTTTAGATCAGTATCAAAAGAATTTACTTTGGGGCCTATTGAAACAAAGAATCATTCAGGAGCTCTGCATTTGATTGATTAAACTCTAACTGAACTTTGGTTTTTCCTTTACTTCTAATTGCATTATAAATCATAAGTAGATCTTCACTAGTTTTTGCAGATGACGCCAGATTTAGATAGTCAGTATTCATGGCATTGCAAATATTATTTTTCTTTTTTCGCCTCTGATGTCTGTATATTTGCGTTTTTTGATCTATCGGAGT